CCTTCCTTCCTTCCTTCCTTCCTTCCTTCCTTCCTTCCTTCCTTCCTTCCCACATTACCTAGATTATGGCTGCAGGCTCAGCTCCTTGAAGAGGAGGAAGTTACCTGTGCAAATGCCATGACTGTGATGGAACATTATACTTTTGGCTGAGTTTCCTGGCAGTCAAGACAAAACGGAAAACTGAATAGGTCACGGAATTTTTACTATGTGGCTGACTGCAGAAGACAAGTTTTGGGGCATAAACTTTCCCCAATACTGCATTCTAAATGCTAAGTGGGACCCCAAGCAGGAGATGCCAAGTGACATTCTGGATGTCCCCAGCTCACATGTTCCCCTGAATTCCTTTCCGGGGAATTGAGGCAGAACCAAGGACAGGTATATCTGCGTCCTGGAACTGTCACGTGCAGACAGCTTGAGGACAGGGTGCAGGGTGGAGGGAGACTCCTTTAAATACTCAAGAAGCCCAATGGCCCTAACTGGGCTGGAGAGGGGCTTTCTAAGCCAGGGTAAGAGGATGCTTACCTTCTTTAGCCTGACACATAGCCTGCTAAGCTACGACCAGGATACCTGCAGGCTCAACCATAGCCTACATCCTGTCTCAGGTTCCCATGTTCATCCTAGATGGAGCTGAGCTCCAAGGGGACAGAGGGGTCAGAACATCTTCCAGAAGAGGAACCAGGGTTCAGGGTTGCCTAGAAGATAGCTTGGCATGGGAGCATCCCCAAAGGAATCATATTCTGGCAACCACCGTTCAGAATCCGAGCTCCGTCCCCAAGACCCAGGGTCCCCCAAGGCCCGAGCCCAGGCTTAGCCCCCTGCATGTGATGAGAAGGGCAGCAGGGAGGAGGACGATGATAGTACCTTTTTACAGTCCTCACACACCACACAGGTGGAGCCCAACATCCCCAGCTGTTCTCCACACAGTATGCAGCGGTTCACCCCGTCCCCAGCCACGTTCTTCCTCATGTTCTCCAGACGGTCCACCAGGCGCCTGGAAGCAGACACAGAGTAATGAGGGCCTCATAGGACCGGGGACCACGGCATCTCCTAGCATCAGGCTGATGGTCTTGACCTTCTCTGAGTCATGGACTCCTGGGTGTCTGATGAGGACTCTTGGACCCTTCCCCCGAAAAAGGCACGTGTGCATGAAATTCTGATACGTTTTCAGAACACCACAGACCCATATCCCAGATCTCCCACCTCCTTCTATTGACTTCAGATTAAACACCTTCTCTAGACTTACTATCTCACATCACCTCCTCCAGAGAAAACTGCCTTCTGGGCTCCAGATCCCTTTAGCTAATTGTCGACGTGACGTCTTCACTCGGATGTCTTCGTTGCCATCTCAAAGTTTAGTTTCGGCTGCTCCTCATCTTGGCTGTTCTCCAACCCCGGCCCTGGCACACCTGCTCCCATTCTTAGGAGGGAGCTGGACCCAGCCCACCCCTCCAAGGACCGGGTTCCCGCTGGGGGCAACACGGGCATGAGAACCACCGGGATACAACTTGGGTATCAGAGGTTCTAGAAGGACCCTGGGAGCCACCTGATGCTGACTCTCCCCACAAGCCTCCTCGCTCCTGCCATCCCCTCAAAGTGCTCGGATTTGCAGTGTTAAAAACAGCAACTTCTCCCTTTGTGTTTCATTCAACAGAGAGCCACTCTGTCCAGGGAAGAGCCAGGAGCAGCTTGCGGGCTCCAGAGCCTCTGCTGTGACCCAGATTGGACGGAGCTGCTTCAGCAGGCAGGGTGCACAGAGCCAGAGGCAGCACACTCCTCCTTTCCTCCCCCTCATCTTCCCTTCCCCCTCTCCCTGTGTTTTCCCTAGAAATTGTTTTTATAGGATGATGGGTGGGGCGGTAACCAGGAGCAAGCCCCCCAGTCCACGGTCTCAGATGACCTAGAATAACAGTAGCCGATGGGTACTGAGCACTTAGTACGTTCCAGGTACAGAGATAAGCACTCCACATCAATTTTCTTAAGGACTCCTTCCAGTAGTACTATACGCTGAGCACTATTCTTGTCCCCATTTTCCAAATGGGAAAACTGAGGCACAGAGAGGTTAAGTGATTTACTCAAGTCGCACAGTTGGGAAGTGGAGAAAGCTGGGATCCAGACCCAGGCAGTTTGTCCTGAGTTCCTAGTTCCTATTCTTTTTATTATTATTATTATTATTATTTTATTTTGAGAGAGAGAAAAAGCACAAGTGGGGAAGAAGCGGAGAGAGAGAGAATCCCAAGAAGGCTCCACACAGTCAGGATGGAGCCTGATGTGGGGCTCAAACCCACGAACTGTGAGATCACGTCCTGAGCCGAAGCCGGACGCTTAACTGACTGGGTCATCCAGGTGCCCCCTGAATCTCTGTTCTTAACTGCAATACACCCTGCTGTTATGTGCCAAGCAGAGCCACGGGGGTCTTCTGGAACAGTCTGATCTCCACCCTGCTGGATCCCCCTGCAGTCCCTACACCAAGGGACCCTCAATGATTGGTAAGTAGGTACCAACTCACACACACCCAGTTACCCTAGCTGGCTCTGTCCATCTCACTTCCCTGAGCTTGGGACAAGACACCCAACAGCTGCCCCATCATTTTGTTTCCCGGAAAAGCCCTTAACAGGGGATTGAGAAAGCTGGGGGTTAGCCCTGGAGTTGGACTCTCTGGGCTTCAATTTCCTCATCTGTAAAACAGAAGGAGTCAGGTTGTCAAGCTGTGCTTTACGGCACCCCAGAGCTCCTTAGAGCCAGTTGAGGGGCCATGCACTGTAGTGGTGGGGTGATTCTGAGGGGCCAGAAAACTGCACTTCATCCACAGCATGTCTGCATTTATCCATTCTGTTTGTTTGTTTGTTTGTTTGTTTGTTTGTTTGGAATTAGATTTCCTTTGGAAAGCCACAGTTTGAAGAAACAGCCTGAAGTTGTCTAGAGCAGATAAACTTCAGGATGCCTTGCAATGCTGCAGAATTATAACATGTTATGAGACGATGAGGCAAGCTGATGGGAGGCAGGGGATGGTAAACGCATGGAGACATTTTTCTTGTCCACACCCTCTTTCGCGGGTTACCCTAGCCAGAAAACGGTTAGATTTTGTTCTCCTCCATCAGCGCGGGTCCCAAAGCACAGAGAAGGTGAGAGGCTTGCCTGGGGTCGCTCCGCCAGGGCTAGAATCTAGTTCTCTGTGTCAGTAAATCATCTTTGCTTTCCATGAAGCCCTCCCGGCTTCCTGCCTCGAGTCAAGCCCCAGGAAGACAGCACGGGACAGGTGACCCAATTCCAAACGGCAGTGCACTTTGCTTAGGAAACTTAAGAGGCTTTCCTGCCTCCTCTTGTAAAATCAAGGCCATGGATTCACTCACCACTTGCAAAACCCACATGAGAGCCTCCACCAAGATGCCTGTTCCTCCCACAGTTCACTCCTAAATGCCGAAAGGGGCCATTAATGGGTCTTGTATGGGGAGTGTCTCATTAGCTTCTCTCAGTGCAGCAAATGGCGTGGTAAAACAACAGATTTAAGATCATTATTCAGATGTCTCAGCTCAGGGACTCTTGTTATTTGTGAATTCAGTAGAGACCAGTAAAGAGAGAAGCATGCGGGTGGGAGGCACAGACCTTCCTTCTCTGCTCCCAGATCAGTTGAGCAGGGGGTTTCCCGCAGCCTACTCATTTTGACATCCTCTCTGTAGCCCCAAATGCCGGGGCCTCAACGTGGAGGGCTCCAACAGCCAAAGAGTATAAACTTAGAAATGAAACTGTGCAGGAAGCTAGGTCAAAATATGTCACAAAAGACCATGAAGACAAGTGGGTCTTTATCCCGGTGATAAAATATTTCAGTGTTTTTACCCTTTTAACGTTTATTTCTTTTTGAGACAGAGAGAGAAAGAGCATGAACGGGGGAGGGTCAGAGAGACAGGGAGACACAGAATCGGAAACAGGCTCCAGGCTCCGAGCCATCAGCCCAGAGCCCGACGCGGGGCTCGAACTCACAGACCGCGAGATCGTGACCTAAGCTGAAGTTGGACGCTTAACTGACTGAGCCACCCCGGCGCCCCTCAGTGTTTTCACCCTCGAAGGAATGTTTGTTGTCTCGTCTCAGCGGGAAAACCCTATATGCATCATGAAAGATGCCTGCAACCTTCCATGCATGTCAATCACCCAGACAGCGTTCAAAAAGAATACCAACCCGTGGGCCCCCGACTCTAAACCTTCTCAGCTATGGATCTGCTTAAGCCTGGTTTCCAGTATTTCAGCATGCGGCCCTGTTGAGAACCACTGCATGGGGGGACGTTCTCAAAACTTACAGCGCCTCTAGAGCACCTGGAGAGAGTGTTTGACACACATACGATTCTGTGGGATTGCGGTGGGGCCTGGGAATCTGAATATTGAAGTGGCTCCCTCTGTGATCCTGAGGCTGGGGAATTCTGGGCCACACTCTGGTAAGCACTGTAGTAAGAAGGAAGCAGTCGGGCAAACTGCACGGGGAAATGCTCTCCTTATGTTAAAGGGATCAAAACCCTCAAAACCCAGGATGTAGAGTCAGGGTGTGAACTTGGGTTTGGAACATGCTCATCTGAATCCCTGCATGGTGTGCACTGGGCAGAAAAGAAAAAAAAAAAAAAATGAGAAAGGAAACACCCAAAGAGCCACAGTGATAATCACTGGGTGGTGGGATTATAAGAAAGCTTTATTTCCTTCTTTAATGTCTCCATCACCCACCCTCCTCAAGCACTCAATTGTCTGGACTCCCTCTGCCTCTTTAATTTTCCAAAGTGAACATGTGTTGCCTTTTCTTTCAAAATGTTTATTTATTTATTTCGAGAGAGAGAGAGAGAGAGTGAAGGAGAGAGTGGGGGAGGGACAGAGAGAGAGGGAGAATCCCAAGCGGGTTACTCGCTGTCAGTGCAAAACCTGATGCGGGGCTCAACCCCACAAACCGTGAGATCATGACTTGAGCCAAAATCAAGAGTGGGATGCTTAACCGACTGAGCCATCTAGGCGCCCCACGTGTTGCCCTTATATTAGAAGAAAAAGGACATTTTTGAAGATAGGGAACAGATAAGGCAGGGTCAAAAACCATGGGTTTGAATCCTACCTTTTCTCCAGTCAATGACCTTGAAAACCCTCTATTCTCTGGGTGCCCTTTCCCCCAGACGTTAACGTGAGGGGTTAGATGAGGTGCACCTCAAGTTTCCGCCCATGGGCAGCGTTCGGGGAGTCTCAGATCCTGAGGCTGAAACATCCAGATTTCCCTGGTGTTTTGAAATAGAAGATCCCTCAAGGACTAAGAGAAGGACCGCTCTGTGTCAGCAGCCTGGTGTTTGCCTGTCTAATGCCTCCACATTAAGTGCCCAATTAGCTGGACACCGTACATGGCTGTCACTCTCTAGTTATGTCTTTACATGCCCGATTAATTTTATGACTACAACTCACGCCTTGCATCCAGGAAACACATCCATCACCAGCCTGGACACTTAAGGGGAGCTGTTGGTTACTCAGAGAAGCTGAGTGGGCACGTCCCATTTCCCAGGATGCTCCCAGAGGTACCAGAAAGGGTGCATCTCTTCCCCTAGGCATCAGCGGACAATCCCTGGGGGTGGCGGGAAGGGGTTCCCAGCTTGGTCTGACCTTGCCATCCGAATGGATGCAGATGGGCTACTCATTCATTCAATTATTTACGGAGCACCTGCTATGTGAGGACCCACCTGGGAGCGAAACAGGTGAGTCCCTGTTTGCACTGACCTGACATTATAGCGAGAGACTCGGGCATTATCGAAATCATCATAATCATGCTCTAGTAAAGTTCTCTGAAGGGCAGTTATGGGCAGCTAGGAGAACGTGTAAGAGAGGGACGTGAACAGTGAGGAAGGGGCCTCGGAGGAAGTGACCGTAGAGCTGAGACATGAGGATAAGGAGGAACTGGACCAGTAAAGAGGGCTGAGGAAAAGTACTAGGAAGAAGAGGGAACAGCATGTGCAAAGTACTTGAGAGATGTTCAGTATG